TACTGATGAAGATCAAAGAGCACTGCCTTAAGTATGGATGACTTCTCAATGTAAAGAAAACAAAAATCCTTACCACTGGACCAATAAACAACATTCTTATCAATGGAGAAAAGATTGAAGTTGTCAAGGACTTCATTTTTTTCACATCAGCCATCAACATTCACAGAAGCAGCAATCAAGAAATCAAATGACATATTGCATTAGGCAAACCTGCTGCACAAGACCTTGTTAAAGTGTTGAAGAGCAAAGATGTCAGAGGAATAATGAGCGTCTGACTCAAGCCATGGTATTCTCAGCATATGAAAATTGGACAGTGAATAAGGAAGACCATAGAAGAATTGATGCATTTGAGTTATGGTGTAGGAGGAGAATATTGAAAGTACCATGAGCTGCCAAAAGAACCAACAGATCTGTGTTGGATGAAGTCCACCCAGAGTGCTCTGGTTGCACCTTTCCTAATTTTAAGCCATTCAGTGTTCCTTTGTTCTGTTTGAATAACTGTCTCTTGGTCTGTGTACAGGTTCCTCATAAGTACAGTTAAGTGTTCTGGAATACTCACTCATACTTCGCAATGTTGTCCGTAGCTTGTCATGACCCACACAATCAAAAGCCTTTGTGTACTCAATAAAGCACAGTCAATAAAGAATCTAGAGATGATACAATGTATAGGCATTATATGCAAATACTATGCCATTTTATATAAGGGATTTGAGCATCCTCTCATTTTGGTATCTGACAGGGGCCTGAAAACAATCCCCCGCAGGATTTTCTGCTTTCAAACATCTTTTTGGTATTCTCTGCTTTCAGCCAAGATCCATTGGACATCAGCAATGATATTCCTCGTTCCACAGCCTCTTCTGAATCTGGCTTGAACCTCTGGAAGTTCTCTGTCAATGTATGCTGCAGCCATTTCTGTATTACCTTTAGTAAAACTTTACTCACATGGGGTATCAATGATATTGTCCGATGATTTCCACATTCCGTTGGGTCACCTCTCTTTGGAATGGGCACAAATATTCTTCCAATCAGTTGGCCAGATAGTTGTCTTCTAAATTTCTTGGTATGAGTGAGTGCCTCCAATGCCGCCTCACTTTCTTGAAAGATTTCAATTTTTATTCCATCAATTCCTGGTGCCTTGTTCTTTGCCAATTCCTTCAATGCACCTTGGACTTCTTCGTTCACTACTATTGGCTCTTGATTATATGCTATGTCTTGAAGTGGTTGAACAATGACCATTTTATTTCCTTTTGGCATAGTGACTCTGTGTACTCCTTCCATCTTCTTTTGATGCTTTCTGCATCATTCAATAATTTGCCCAGAGAATCCTCTAATAACGTAAGTTAAGGCTCGACTTTTTCCTTCAGATCCCTCAGATGGAGAAATGTTCTTCCCTTTTGGTTTTCTAACTCCGGGTCATTGCACATTTTGTTATAATATTTGCCTTTGTCTTCTAAAGCTGACCTTTGACATTTTCTGTTCAGCTCTTGTTCCTCCTTATTTCTTCCATTTGTTTTAGCATCTCTACGCTGGAGAGCAAGTTTCAGAGTTTCCTCTGCCATCCATTTTGGTCTTTTCTTTCTTTCTTGTTTTCTTAATGACCTTTTGCTTTTTTCCTGTATGATGTTCTTGATATCATCCCACAACTCTTCAGGTCTTTGGTTTTTAGCGTTTAATGTGTCAAATCTGTTTTTCAAATGATCTCTAAATTCAGTTGGGATATATTCAAGGTCATATTTTGGCTCTGTGGACTTGTTTTCATTTTCTTTAGCTTCTGTCTGAATTTGCATACAAGCAATGGATCATCTGTTCCACAATCTGTCCCTGGCCTTGTTTTGGCTGATAATATGGAGCTTTTCCACAGATGTAGTAAATTTGATTTCTGTATATTCCATCTGGTGAGATCCATGTGTATAGTCATCTCTTATGCTGTTTAAAACAGGTATTTTAAAGGAACAAATCATTGATCTTGCAGAATTCTGTCATAGGAGCTCCAGCATCATTTCTATCACCAAGTCCATATTTTCCAACTACTGATCCTTCCTCTGTTTCTAACCTTTGCCTTCCAATCGCCAGTGATTATGAATACATGCTTGCTCAATTTCAAACTGAAGAAGGTGGTAGAATTCTTCGATTTCATCATCACTGGCTTTAGTGGTTGGTGCGTAATTTTGAATAATAGTGGTATTAACTTGTCTTCCCTGTAGACTCAGATGTTATCCTATCAGACAGCGTTGTGTCTCATGAGAGATCTTGATATGTTCTTTCTGATGATGAATGTGATGCCATTCCTCTTCAATTTGTCATTCCCGGTGTAGTAAACCATGTGGCTGTCAGATTCAAAATGGCCAATACCAGTCCATTTCAGCTCACTAATGCCTGGGCTGGATATTGATGCACTGATGTTTATACATTCCATTTCGTTTTTGACAGTTTCCAATTTTCCTAGATTCATACTTCGTACATTCCATCTTCCAATTATTGTTTACAGCTATTTCTCTTCATTTTGAGTTGTGCCCCATCAGCAAATGAAGGTCCCGAGGGCTTTATTCCATGCATGTCATCACGGTCAACTCTACTTTGAGGAGGCAGCTCTTCCCCAGTGGTATTTTGAGTGCCTTCCAACCTGAGGGGCTCATCTTCCAGTGCTGATCCTACAGAGCCACACTAGGACTTCATCCTTAGGTTAGTATCACACTGTCTTATAGCGTAGTGGTTACGAGTCAGGCTGCTAACCTCAAGGTTAGCAGTTTCAATCTACCAGCTGTTCTGTGGGAGAAAAGATGAAGTTTTCTGTTCCCATAAAGATTTACAACCTTGGAAACCCAATGCAGGGTTGCTGTGAGTTGGAGCCAACTCCAGGGCACATCACCACCACCACTATAAACATTATATTAAGTTTTGCAATGGGGTGGTGTCTTAGTCTGTTTCAAAACTGTTTTACCAATCTGGGTCCTTTGTAATTCCATTTTTGGATAAACTGTCAACTTCTACAAAAAAAAATGCTTGCTGAGATTTTGCTACGGAATGCATTAAGTATATAGATGGATTTGGAGAATAATGTCTTCCAATCCATGAATATGAAATGTCTCTTTATTTAGATTTTGTTTCATTTCTCTCAGCAGTGTTTTTAAATTTTCAATGTACAAACATTGTGTATTTTTGTTCTATTGCAAATTGAATTTTAAATTTAAGTATCAGATTTCCACAGCTAATTTATAAGGAGCTCTGGTAGCATAGTGGTTACGAATCGGGCTGCGAACCTTACGGTCAGCGGTTCGAAACTACCAGCTGCTCCGCGGGAGAAAGATGAGGCTTTCTACTCCCGTAAAGATTTACACCCTCGGAAACCCTGTACAGGGTCGCTATGGGTCGGACCCGACTCGATGGCACTTAACAACAACAACAACAATTTATAAAAACTGATTTATATATAATTCACATACCATAAAATTCACCCTTTTGTAGTTAGTGCACAAGTAATTCAAGATATTCATAAAACTGTATCACCATTAACATTACAGCATTTAACCCACTCTGCCACCAGGGCTCCTCAAATTCCATTTGGTCAGGGTAAATAATCCTTTTCTTTTACTGGGATTCATTTGCCAATAATTTAGGGATTTTGCTTCTTTGTTCAAGAGAGATATTGGTTTATAGTTTTCTTGTCTTTGTGTGACTCATAGAATGAGTTAGGAACTATTCTAACCTCCATTTTCTGAAAATTTGTGAAGGATTGGTACTATTTCTTCTTTAAATATTTACACGTATAAAAAACTACAATTGATTTTTGTATGTTGATCTTTTATCTTGTAGCATTGTTCAGCTCGTTCATTTGTGCTAATAGTTTTCATTATGGATTCTCTGGGACTTTTTAGAGAGAATTCTTTTCTTGTTAAGTCTTTATTTGACTTTGGTATTGGGGTAATACAGGATTTATGGAAGTGTTCCTCCATTTTATGAGTTTTTAAAAGACTGTTACTAATGTCTTAAGTATTTGATAGAGAAATAAATCAATAAATATTTGATCAAACTGACCAGTGAAGCTATCTGTATTGGTTTCCAAGGATGAAACTTTAGTGGCTTAAACCAGAAATATATTCTTTCACAGTTCTAGTGGCCCGAAGTCTGAACTCAAGGTTCCAGTAGGCCTACACTCTGGGAGTTGTTGACACTTCCTGAGCAGTGACTGAAATGCTCTATTCTCTGTGATACAGCCACCAGCCAGGATGTGCCAACCGTATGTGTCTTTATATTTAGTCTGTGTCCCTTGCATACAGCACACAGTATAGCTGAGGCTGTTGTTTTTAATCCACTCTGACAATCTCTGCCTTTTAATTACATGGTTGTGTTACAATCTAGCATCTTGCTATTTTCCATTTGTCCCTCGGTTGTTTTGATCCTCCTTTATTTCATTCCCCTTTTATTTTCTTAATCAACTGTTTGTTAGTATTCCATTTTATAGCCTGTATTGGCAATTTAGCTATTCTTTTAAAGTTTTTAATGCTTGATCTAGGGCTAATAATATGCATCCTTAACCTATCACAATCTACTTATTTTACCACTTCATACTTCTCTCTGCACTTGACCCTTTACAAATGTAATAACCTCACAACTAAAACCCTAACCAAACCCACTGCCATCGAGTCGATTCTGACTCACAGTGACCCTATCTAGAGTTCCTGAGACTAGAAAACTTTACAGGAATAGACAGCCTCATTTTTCTCACAGAGAAGATGCTGGGTTTGAACTGCTGACCTTTAGGTTAGCAGTTCAATATCTAACCCACAGCGCCACCAGGACTCCTTGACCTCTGAACACTATAACTCTATTTATAGTTACCTATCTGGTAGCATAGTGGTTACGAATCAGGCTGCTAATCTCATGGTCAGCAGTTCGAAACTACCAGCTGTTCCAAGGGAGAAAGATGAGGCGATCTCCCGTAAAGATTTACAGCCTCGGAAACTGTACAGGGTTGCAATGAGTTGGAACCAACTCCATGGCACACAACATCGATCCTTTACTTGTCTCACCTTTTAGCGCTGTATGTATTCAATCATAATCAGTCAGTTCTCTCTTAAGGAAATTACAATATATAATTTTATATTTGTATTTTATTTATTTATAATTTCTAGTTCTGGCCTCTTCCCCTACCCTAGAGATTCTGATTACTTTAAACTTGAATCTCTGTATTTTTAGCACAGTGAGACTACCATGCTCTCATCATTCCATAGCCAGAAAACTGTCTCTAGGCAAAAAAGCCAGGGCAAACAGGGACTCACTTTAAGTTTTCTTTCTCTCATGGACTGCATATATGTCATGATTACTCATTAATATATGAAAGGGTTACCATCACGGGATCGCAAAGCCAGAAAAGAATAAGGAGGACATGCATGTAATGGCAGCTTGGTATGTGACATCTGAACCTAATCAAACTACAATGGAATTTCTGTAGGACTGCAGTCTGGCATGTGCCGAGAGCCCATGACGGTTAAGGACAATCTCTGTGATTTTTGTGACCAGGAGCAGTTGAGAGGAGTGTTCTAGTTACTTTGGCAGTGTAACAAATGACTCACATACTCAATGACTGAAAACAGCAATAATCATTTATTATCTCTCAAGGTTTATAGAACAGGAATTTGTATAGACCACAGCAGACATGCCTTGTCTCTGCTCCAGAGGCTGGGGAGCTAGGAGCTGCAGTCATCCGAGTGCTTACTCACTCACACGTCTGACAGTTGATGCTAGCTTTCAGTTAGGAGCTTCCAATTCTCTCCACATAAACCTTTCTATGTGGTTAGATTTCCTCAAAGGGTGGCTAGATTCCAAAGGCAAGTTTACAGACAGAAAGACAGAGTCAGACAGAAATTATATTGCCTTTCATGACCTAACCCTAGGAAGTTACACAGTATCTTTTTCACCAGATTCTATTAAGTAGGGCAGTTAAAAAAAGGTCTATCCAGGTTCAAGGGGAAAGACCGTACCTCTCACTGGAGAAATATCACAATTCTGTAAGAAAAACACATGAGATGGGATGTATTCTGGAATGCTTCTGAAAATACAAGCTGCCACAGTGGGTGCACAGGTTGTCGTAGAGTGTAAGAGCACAGGTGAGGTGAAGAGGACGTGCATGTGGGAGGGCAGACAGCTTGTGATATTGGAGTCAAAATGAGAAGGCTACGGTGATGGGAAGGAGGCAGGCCCTCACAGGCTGACTGAGTCCACCCAGGGTGAGGAAGGCCTGCATGAGGTGTCAGAGTCTGAGTAGGATAAAGAAAGCATTCACTGAGCAATGGGAAGGCAGTGGCCCTGTGTTTGGTATTGGCGCCTCGGTGGACTGAGAAAGAGCATTTGCAGAGGAAAGGAAACAAGGCAATAGTGGTAGATTGGTTACCTATAAGAGGATTCATCAAATAAGTAAAGAATAATGGGAACCAGGTTTCTACCTATCAGAGAAATGAGCTGCAAGGAACAGAAGGAATTCAAATTCCCTACTCTGTCCTTTGAGATATCCTGGGAACCACCAACACCAGGAAAGTATTAAGCACACTGAACACCCAAATCTTGGTTTCTAAATACTATCCTCCACTAAGGAATCCCGGTGTGGTTCTGTGGGAGAAAACACTGGGCTGCAAGGTTGGTTTGAACCACAAGGGCGGCAGTTCAAAATCACCAGCTGCTTCTTGGAAATCCTGTATGGGCTCGTTACGAGTTGAAACCGACACAGCTGCACTAATAACAATACAAATTCTCCACTAAAAGAAACCAGGGCTCCCTGAAGAAGGCTGATTCCAGGACTGATGTAGGGAAAATACAACATAACCCTGGAATATCTTTGTACCCAAGAGTAAGGAAGTGTTTAAAGAAGGATGAAAGCATGTCAAAATGGCATAGAAGTTAGTCTGACCAAATAAGGGATACACTGAGTATCAAAATAATGATAATGGTAGATTATAACCCAAGGACTAAAATAGAAGTCTTCACTGAATATAAATAAATGAATAAATGAAAAGTCTGATGCGGAACAGAACAGTTAGATAATCTCAAAGTTGTTGTGTGCACTGTCAAGTCTGTTCCAAATCATAGCAATCCTATATAGAGTTTCCATGAACAGCTGATGGGTTTGAACTGCCAACCTTGTGGCTACTAGTTCAGTGCACCACATCGGGGTTTAAAGTACTTCCCCACAATATATGCTTTATATATAAAGGAGAACAGAAATCAGAATAACTGAGGGAAAGACACCACCTTAAGTAAGTGATCAAAGTGACCATCATCAATAATGAAACAATCAAAAGCAATGAATGAATTCAATGAGAAAACCAAGCTCTTATCTGTGATTTCAGAAACTTACAAACTGTTCCAGATCAAAGGTAACCAAGGATATAAAATAATGTGAATGAACTAAAGTTTTGCCGTTAAAGGACATTACTGGGAGAACTGCCAAAACATGATGGGGTCTGAGGATTAGATGGGAGTAATCTGTCAGTTTTAATGTACTGATTTTGATGGTCACATTCTAGTTATGTAGGATAATGTGCTTGTTTGTAGGAATACTAAATATTTGATGTAATAAGGGATATCACGTTGAAAACTTATTCTCAAATGGTGAAGGAAAACTAGATCTTTTTACTATATTTCTAACTTTTCTGTAAACTTGAGATTATTTCAAAAGTTTTTAAATGTAAGGCATAATTACAAGAATTCTAACTTTGCTCAAAACTGCAATTTCATTAACGTAAGATAAAACCTTAGAAACAAAATAATGTATTTCAAAGAAATTACCTACTCTGACATATATGACTGTACCAGCAATAAAATGTTTATTTCATAGAAGGAAAAGATCAGTAATATGTACAGACTAAGAAGAAACCTTGGAAAATCATAATCATGGCAGTAAATGTCAAAACAAATCTTTTCCTCAAAAAGTTAACTATAGAATTACCATATAACCTAGCAATTCCACTCCTAGGTATGTACACAAGAGAAATGAAAACATATGCCCACAGAAAAAAATTATACACCGATGTTCATAGCAGCATTATTCATTGTCGTTGTTAAAGTGCCATCGAGTCGAATCCAACCCATAGCGACCCTGTATAGGATTTCCAAGGAGCGGCTGGTGAGCTTGAACCACCGACCTTGCAGTTCAAATGACTTTGCAGTCTTATCCCACAGTGCCACACCAGGACTCCAGCATTATTCATAGTAGCCAAAAATTAGAAAAAACCCAGATATCATTTGGCCATAAAAAAGGAAACACACATTCTGCGCTATGAATGAACCTGGAAACCATTATGCTAAGTGAAGATGTCAAGCACATTTTAGACAAGATAATCCATCAATGGTGAAGAAAGTACAGATTAGTGGACTGGGCACAGCCAAAGGACGGATCCAAAACCTAGATCCGTATTAACCTGAAAAGACTGAAGTCAAGAACTAGTATCTCAACAATTATATTCATAATTCATAAATCAGAACAAAGGGAATGAGGATTGATGTTTCTTTACAATTACTAAAGGAGCTCTGGTAGTGTAGTGGTTACGAATCGGGCTGCTAACCTCAAGGTCAGGAGTTTGAAACTACCAGCGGTTCCCCAGGAGAAAGCTGAGGCATTCTGCTCCCGTAAAGATTTACAGCCTCGGAAACCCTGTGCAGGGTCGCTATGAGTCAGAAGCGACTCCATGGCACATGACAACAACAACATAAGGAGTAGTATAAGTACTAAAATGTTTAGAAACAATGCAGGAGAGTAAAGGAATGAAATATACTAACAAAACTGGCAAACTGTAACAACCAGAATGGTCTCCCAAGCACTCTATCATATCGATAACATACAACTCACACCATATCCCCAGGAGAAGTCCGAGCTGCCTTCAGTAGAGATCCCGGTATAACTTGGAAAAGCAGACCTTGAGTTCCCAGTATCAGCCGATGTAAAAGGTGATTCCTGTGTGATGTCAGATTCACTGAGTACATAATTGGAAGAAAAAAAACAAGAGAGAAAAATGCTCATATTCAAATTTATACAAAATTACTTAGCAATTTATCAGATCATAAGTACTAATGTAGCCATAAAGGCAAAAATAAATGACTTGAAATTTGAACATCATAAAGAATTTTAAATAATCCCTACAGAACTGAAGAAGCCATTCTAAATGAGTTTAGGAAGTTTACAATGAGCACGTAACATCCCTCCTATAACACATAACTTCTTGACATCGATCTTACTTTCATGCAAATACTTTTACCTACATTATGGCATTTTTTTGACCAACCATGCCCTGCCCCAAAATATTTTTTAAAGCAATCTATGCTAATTTTATTTTACAGCAACATATTAAAAAAATATTACTGCATGCTTATAAAAATACTTTGGAGGAAGGGTGAGGTTGGCAAAAAAACAAACACATTTGCATTTCAGAAATGTTAATGGTAGTATTTAAACTTGTATAGCACCTTTACAGTTTACCAATCACTTTTTCTTGGAGTCCTGGTGTGACAATGTAGGATAAGCACTGGACTACTAACTGCAAGGTCAGTAGTTCAAGCCAACCAGTCACTGCTAGAAAACCCCTATACAGGGTCACTTTGAGTCAGAACCGACTCAGCAGCACTTAATAACATCAATAACAAGTACTTTTACAGATCTTACCTCCTTTAATCATCATAAAAACCTGATACTGTAGAACTCAATTATCCTCACTGGAAAAACGGAGAATCTGAAATTTAGTTCCAGGTTTTGAAATCAAGATTTATATACTAATATACTAACAGCAGGTAATATTTACTCAGCATTTATTACATGCAAGCATTATACCAAGTTGTACATACTTTATTTCATTTATAGTCACAACACCCTATAAAAGGTACTACCGTCAAGGTAAGTACCGTATTTTTTACAAATATCTTACACATTAGATGTTTTATGTGTTGCTGATTTCAATTGGCCCTAAGAGGACATCATTAAACTAGGAACTAAGCAGAACTAACATAACCAAATGGTTTCATGTAAAATGATCTGATAAGGTGTTCACATTCAACTGTTGGGCTTTGTTGTTGTTGTTGTTAGGTGCCATCATGTCGGTAC